CACCTGCTTTTTGAAATAATTATATTAAAATTTTCTAGAAAAATTAAAATACTCTAATTCTCAATGAAATCCCTTTTCAGTGCATGTGGTTATTATGGCCTTTTCCTATTCCTGATTTTGATATGGATTTTCACGGTGTCTTTGTCGTTTTAAGTCATATGCTGAATGAATTTATTTTGCTGAGTCAAGGAGGGAAATGTTGAGAATGCCCAATATTAATGTTTTTTTCGACGTGCTTACGGATATGACCTCAGTAATAATGTTTATTCAATAAGTCTACGAATCACAAAGTGCCTACACCATGACAAATGTGACATGCTTAACATTTTGCAGGAACAACAGCTACTGAATGTATGTGGCAGTCGAACTACTTTTTCGACAACCAAATGGTATAAAACTTTCCATTACAATTATAATAATGATAAGTATAATTATTATTGTAATTTGTATAACGGTATTTACCAACAATTTGATAACCATCTAAAATCTATGCCACCAGTAAATACTGCTACAGGCCCTAAGAAAAAATACCATCGAACACATAAAGTACCGCATTTGCAAAGTACCGCATTTTCGGAGACAACGATTTGGGTTGTAGATAATTATTACCTTTTATTTTCTTTTGTCACAAATTAGATTAGGATATTTTATATATTTACTTATTATAATAATAAATACTATCGAAATGTCATGTGCAATAAACAATTAGTGCTCAAAAGCCGCTTCACAGACGCCTACATATAAGCAATGTTTCATAATTTACTTCATATTTTTAGGTTATTGATATACATGTATAATATTATAATATTTATAGTAGGCATGTATTTTGTAACAATGCTTTTACGAGGGGAAGCAGCTGCATATTATATCCGGTTATCCCATTTACCCAGTTAATCTGACTTTTTATTGAAAGGTGATATCATGTACCTTATGGTAAGTTGTTATGAGGGTTGTACTTTTGAATTTGTGGCAACATGCGCAAGTGTAGTCATTTGTTAATAACTATGAATGAAAAATATGTTCTTGATTTTTGATAAACAAACTGAATAAAAGATGTCAAATATAAAAATATACGTTGAGCCTTGTTTCTTGCCATTTCATATTTCTGTTTGATTATTATATATATATCCACAAGATCACAAAGTAATTAGTTTGTGTAGCTAGATACCTTCGTAAAGAGTTTTCAATAAGCTATATAAATGATTTTTGGTTATCCTTGTTAACGGAAATTTATTGTACCATAAACATGTGTTTTTTAGGAGAATATATCAAATTAAGTGCAAAAATGTTTTCTATAAATAGATAAAACACCTTAGAGAGCTAAAAGCAGGATGCGACAAATTGTCACCATAACACTGGTCTTGACATAAGTTAATTGACTGCTATTTGAAGCATTGCTCTCAACCCATCCTTCATCATAATCTCACTAATGAGATAGAAAGTGATCTTCGGCGCAATTCTGGATTTTGCAGTTCTCTAACGACTAGTAAAACGTTATGTCTTCAAATGACTTTAAATGACTGACAAATTACAAATACATTTTGATATCTTTTAGATTGCCTACATTGTCTAAATCGGATTGGTCCACAGTGGGCGCATTTCATATTTTGAAAAAGACAAGAACTGTATCTTTTGATCTTATAAATGACATATACAAAAAAGAATGTGTTGTTATTTATATGATATTAATATTTGTTATTTATATGATATCAATATTTAACATTTTTGTTTTAGAACAATTTAATATCTGCAATATGTATAGATAATGTTTTCTTGGGTCAAGCATCTCACCTAGCTTAGGAACGGCGTTGGTTTTTCTCAGGTGCTCGCTAAGTGTCTGAAATAATGCACGGAGGGGAACCTGAAATATTTCTACACCAGATGCAATGAAATGCAGCCATATACTCTCTACGGTGTTTTTGTAATGTAGAAACCAACCAAACTAGGAGTCTCAAATTTACCTACAACAGCCATATAAAATTATTTCCTGATTTATTGCCATGTATAATACTAAATATCATCAACATAATCTGCTGAATTAATACACAATCAGAGTAAATTTCTTCAAACTGACACTTCGTCTGATATATAATTTAACAAAGCTTGAACTGAAGGCAGCAGATATTATTGATTGGTTTGATATCAATCAATTGTTATCTTTCATAGACATGTTGGGAGTTAAGAATAATAAGAAAGTAGACAATTAAAATGTTATTAACTTTAGATCTTATATTGCAAACCTAACATACTGTAACGAAAGAAGGTTAAATTAATTTAACAATGTATAAATTACAAAATGTATATAAAACGTTTGTGCAAGGGCAAATTAGGTGCACTTCCAGTTCTGCAATCCTTAAATGCACAGGACAGGAGATTGCTACTTAACTAGACTACTTATTAAGAATATGAACAAGTTAATTGCCGGCGCAATAAAGCATCGCTCTTAACCTATCCTATATAATCTCGCTAATGATGCAACATATGATTTCCGATGCATTTGTATGATTTTTACTGTGCATTTATGCTGTAGAAATGATAATACAAGTCCACGCGAGACAAAACGAGACATACAACTTTACACATTGAGATTAATTACAGAATGTAATCTGATTTCTTTTCTTGAATTTTGTCTGTTAAAAATTAGAAATAAATAAATAAAATGTGAAAAAGTGCTTTATTGCTGCTGCCTATGTTAGTATATATACCTGGTTTATTTGCTATTAGATATGAATTTCTAGATGTTTTGCATTTTGAATTGAAACTTGTATGTTCACATGTGTTGATGATGTTTTGCTGATATGTTGTGTCCGCATATATACGTAGTACAAAAAGGTAAACAAATCCTCTTATCAAGCCAATGAAAAAACAATATCTGGACATCTTCCTACACTGAATTCATATTCGGAATACAAACAGTATTTATAATCATTAAATATACTGTATATTGTAACAAAGGTTGTATACCACACTTAAGTGAAATTATATATATGTATATAAATATGCTTATAAAACAATTTTCAAACATCGAAGAATATGTAAAAAATGTACTGTAAATATATGTACATATCATATGTAATCGTTAAGATATATTTCATTTTTTATTGGAAAGATTGACTTAGACTTTATAGAAAATAGATTTTTATTACCTCCCTTTATTTACATGAAATTTTAAATTGGGGAATATCTTTATAAGTAATGTTTTTTGGAACGTACACAATTGATAAAGCTTAATTTGAGCACCATATTAATGATATAAAGCCAAAAAAAATTGTGTTTCAGGATCTTTATTCAAAAAATGTATAAAACTGGAGGAAATAAAAAGAAAGCATAGTTACATAAATTATGAAATTTTATGCAAGCAATGCGTATAAACGTTTGTCATTTTGATCCCCTTTGTTGCAGTGTTATGTTAAATGGTACAGCAGCAGTTTAACATATAAATAAGCCAATGGACAATTTGTTTTTAAATAGTATTTAAAAAAAAACAGATTTTGATGATAATTTTATGATCTTATGAATTTATGCATTATTATTGTGAATGATCGACCATCTGTCAATATTTCAACCATATTGTAAACATAGCATAATAACTAGACAGTGAACGTCACCGCTTCTAATGCTCCTTATTGTTTTAACGGATGCATGAAAGAAATTAATAACATACAATACGATAAATTATCATGGTTAAAGACAAATAAATCAATACAACTGTTACACCATCTTGCAGCGAAATTGAAACTATACTGAAATTGAATACATGATAAACCCTTTTTTAGATGAAATTTATTTCGAATGTTTTTACTATCATTAAATTTACTTTGAATCAAGAAATAACAAATACTAAAAGAAAGTTGGCAGAAATTGTGATATTTTGCATATGTAATTGATAAAAGTATTTTTTTCCTCACTGTTATTCGTTTGTAGTGCCATTTTTGTCAACAAAATCAACATTTTGTCACAACATGGCTGTTACATTGGTCATACTAAGTATGCAACAACAGTAAAGCATTAGATATATAAATGTAAATGTAAAGAAGTGTGATATCAATTTATACGCATGCTAAAAGAGTTGTGTTTCGACATATACTAGTATGCAGAATGAAACTTATAATAGAATTTACTTTTTTATTTTTCATATTCTCATAATAAAACTACATAAGCATTTGTATCGAAAAAGAATATAATTCATTGACCTTGTGTTTTTATTTCTCACTAATCAAGGTTTGAAATGCCTTTTTACTCCCTTTCCTGTATCTGACTTCTATTTAAAGGATTGTGCAAAATTAAATGAATCATAACAAAAGTTAAATAACTATAATATTTTTGCCTTTAAAACATTTGAACCAAAGCATACAATTTCCAATTCTTTTCAACACTTCAACAACACTTTGAAAAATTATATTCCTTTTTCCTGCTTTTACGCTGTTGTCAGTTGATATTGCTGTTGTTGTTGTTGCTGCTGCGCAGTCTGATCAGGACCCATGGTGTTTGCTTACTAACTCTAATACAAGAAGAGAAACTGATAGCGAACATCATGGATCTTGATCAGACTGCGCGGATGCGCAGGCTGGTCTTGATCCATGCTGGTCGCAAACGCATTGTGTTGGTTTTGTCATGACACGGCTCAATTATCAGTAAAACAAATTTCAACTGTTTTTTTGTAAGAAATCAGCCAGTTTAGGAATGACAGTCTCAAGTGTCCTTTTTGTGTTTGTTACACGTGGTTGGCCTTCACTGTTTTTCATCGTGAATGTACTGTGTAGTCCATCTTCACCATCACGTATAAAGATTTTCCTTAGATGCTCCAGGTTTAACCCTGAAGACGCGATATTTTCAGCTGTAGGAAGTTTACAAACACTACTTGCAATAAGACATGACAATGACGGTAAATTCTTTGCCTTTTCCTTCGATGACAGACATTGGTGATACACTGCATTTAGGGAAAAAGTGAACTTTATCATATCATTTACTAAGGCACAACAATGTTGGAACAATTTCACTTAGGCGCGCACATCTTCAAGAGCGTCATGGGCATTATACTGTATACCGAGAATGTCCTGTACATAATCTCCCTGCTTGTAACTACTTCTGTCAGAATAGGTCTTACGAAACAATGGTAATGTATCCAAACAACCTACAACACTTGCTAAAAATTCTTCCAACTTATTCACATTAGAAACTGCAGCAACAAGAACTGAAAAATCAAACCGCCGCCCGTTGTGTGCCACCAACACTACTCTGTTATACTTTTTTAGCCATTTTATGAAATTTTCAACAGCACATTGAATGTTTACAGTTTCTACTATAGTTCCGGAAACATACATAACATTATTATCTGCCATTCTAATACCATTGGTCTGCTGTGCTCCTTCTGATATAGGTAGCTTCGGTTTAACATAAGTTGAAAACTCACTACCACTATTTACTTCTCTGGCAGCAATCTGGGTCAAATGAGGCATTTTTCCCACTTCGTACTGAAATAAACAAAATAGCAATTTATATAAAACACATCAGATATGAGCCGCATCATGAGAAAATGGATATAAAAGCGAGCCCGACCAGTATGGATCCCATCATTCTAAAGTTACTTTCATATGTAAAACATCCATGATGTTATTGAAAAGCAACACATTATTTTTTATAATAATGGAACATAAATCTATACTAGACCGCCAATATAAGAAGTAGTTATACAAAACACTTACTAAGATCTGTAGTCTCCAAGTCTAATACAACAAATGTTGGCATCGAGTTTTGAAGTTTTCAGGGGCTTAAAATCACCACGTGGTACAGCGTCCGGTATCGTTTCCACATCAACATCATTCTGAAGACCAATTTCTGAAGAACATTGTAATAGAATAATGTGTGTCCAATCATAAATTATAAGAGAATGTAAACATTTGAACTGTTAGAGTACCAAAGGTCTCTTAACCATATTCAGCACAGTTGAGTGAGCAAACATTACATCCTTTTTTATTAAAAAACAATACTTTCTGTCCATCTATTGATCAGTACTATGACCAGACCAGTGTGTAGAACTTACAACTTTCTTAGAATTGAAACTCTACTATATAAGTACCCAGTGCACTAAGCTGTTGACGTACCCCCTTTTTTTTTTACTTTTTTAACATTACAAGATAAAAGGCTAACCTGACTGATATGTGGCACCTTCTAGCACTTCGGTTGCTCCTTTACATATACACCTCTCTTGTTTCAATGTGAGTCTGCGACGCTTGGACGAAGGAAGACTGGAGCGTTCCATTCGGCGCTTGCGTTCATTCATACACTTCTTAGAGTACTTTTCTGTGTGGAACCCCGGAGAAAGACCTCCTTCATTAGCCTAACATAGAAAAAATTGTGTAAGCTTTGATAGTTACATACATTTACCAATCAAGACAATTTGACAAATCTGGTCTAGATTTAGTTGCCATAGTGAACTAAGTTGTTGTAGTAACATGGGTCACCATTGCTCTTCAATGTAATCATTCATAACACTTGAATGATGCCCAAAAGCTTATTATATTAGTATGATAAAAGTTTCCATTCGCCTTTTTAATAATGTAAAAATGTAAGGACTATTATGTAAGTAGCATATTATGCATACATGTATATTCACTTGAAAAAAGCAACATAACTCTGCAACATTGTTGTGTTCTAACTTTATAGACAATACATGTATAATGTAAACAAATAATAATAAACTATGAACAGTACTTACTTGCAGAAGGCACCATATGCTTGAAACTGTATGAAAATATCCAATAGTGTAACTGCAACACAAACAAAGAAATCAACATGAACTGTGAACTGTAAACATAAATCAACATGAACTGTGAACTGTAAACATAAATCAACATGAACTGTGAACTGTGAACATCAAACAAATAAAAAAAAACGTGAGAAACAAATAATCTTAGCAAAACATTTCTGACAACTTCATTTCCTGAATTGAAAAAGGAATACCATTTTTAACCCTTAAAGCTACAGCAAGTGATTCAGATTTAAATTTCAGGCTAAGTATTTTGCAGGCTTTATAAATTGAAATAAACCATCTAAAAGAATAAATACTGCTATTTTACAGCTGTTTTGCTTGTATTTAAAACAAATAAGAAACAAATCACTAACTGCAGCTTAAACCCTACTGATTTTGTGCTGGATATCAAAAGGGTACAAGCATACCCATCAAAATAGTTTTAAATTAAATTTATAAAGTCATCTTGATGAATTTTTGAAAGGTAAATTTTGTGTAAAAGTATTTCATATCAAAATGAGATCCAGCACTAAATAAAACAAAATCAAACTAATCACATGCAAGTCAAGTGTAAAACTTCTTGTTTAGTACCTTGCAAATATAAGTTCTTCCTTCATTGATGAAGGCTGCCGTCGCCTGCACTCGGAATTCCAAGGACTCAGAGTTTCCATAGTGAAGTGACTTTGGGGCCCTCAACGATACTTCCCTGTTAGCATACACATTGTTGTGAAGAACCCAAGTCAGAGTACTGTTCTGCATTGCCAATGACAGGTGCGAAAACTTTGTCAAGTTCTTCCCGAAGCTGACCTGTTTCATCTTTGATAGGGCCCTTGTATGGCAAGCTACGATGAAGATATTTCACACTTTGGTCCCTCTTGTAGCCACAAAACTTTGGGAAACAGAAGCTATTGTCCCCAAACTGATGGTGTATGATTGTCCTCAGATTTTGTTCTAGATCTTCTTTGTTTCCTTGGTTTTTAGCAAAGGCGTATTTGAGACACTTCTGGATGTGGTTAATTACAACTTTACTGAGACGAACTTTCTTGGAGGCTTGCAACTGAGACAGGTGTTTACCAACATTCTTCACAACATGGTTCCTATCAAATCTCTTTTTCATATTAATATTTTGATAAGACTTTAACCGAGCTATAAGTGTATTGTCTCCATCACCTTCAATATACTCTACAGGTGTTTCTTCTTTGGACAATTCCAATATACCTTGTTCCCCGCTTGCACTCTCCATCGATTTTGCACTTACTGTATGGTTTTGGACACAGCGGTGTAGACGTACTGGTTGACCTGGTTTGTTTCTTTTCCACCATTTACATGTTCCACAGGTTCGGTGTTTTACAATAGCCTTCAATACCTTTTTACCATACTTCGCCTTACTCATAAAAAAGGTATGAGCTGTAAAACCAAAATAATACAGAAAATTGTTTGAAAGATCATTTCAATTGACACTATTTTACAAAGCAGCTGGACTGCATGTTCTAAACTACATTTACATGTAAACATACATAAAGTGTAAACATACATAAAGGCTAAAGCATGTTCAACTAATTACGAAGTGATCATTATGTAAAGCTTAACTTTAATCAAACTGAGTCTGCAATTTTCATGTAATTTTGTTGAGATTAATGCTTCCGAGGGATCACACTTTTTCCAGATTTTCTATAAGGCTGTTTACTAGGGATGGCAATAACCGAATAAATTGCTAACTTCATAACCCTTCAATCGTCCGACTGGAAATTGAAATATGAAATTGTTAAAGAATTCATTTGCTCAAAAGTATTCATTTCCTAGCTAGGGCGTGCTACTATTAAACAGGTTTTAATCATCACATAAAGTTTATATCTGCATGTTAAGACAATTAAGGTCCACATACTGTACTTCAGAGATACATGTATATAATAAAACCTTTGAATGTCCGAGATAGTAAAATTGCAACTAAACATGTTTTATATCAAATGGAAGAACGCAAGTTAATTGACCGAAAATGGAAGCATAACTCTGAGCATATCCTATATAATCTCGCTAATGATGCGGCATGGTATTTCCGAAACATTTGTTTTATTATTGTGCTGAAATATCGGTAAGAGAATAATACAACCCTTAGATATGATAACAATCTTTAACGCAATCATAGTAATATATGCAACAAGGGACACTAAGATTAAAAAAAGAACATCATATAATTTTT